ATTTAACTAATTGCTCAGCCCCCCGAAAACTCGCAGTTATTTCAGTAATTTCCTCTCGCCCAATTTGATTGTTTTTCCCCCTGGTCATAACAAATTTATTATTCATTATGAAGCTGGCACCTCGCAGCTATTTGGCAATTTCGCATGCTATTCATAAACTGGCGCCCCTTGTCGTCTGTCAGCGCGTTTTATTGGCGAATCAAAAGGCCACCGCAAATGGCAAACACACATGCATGTTTCCTTGCTTTTCCCGCCAATTTTCCCGTCCGCTTTTCCTACTTTCTAGGAGCTCTGGTTTTCGCTTGCGGTCAGCTGTTGGTCAGCAAACAAGCGTGAAATTGCACCAAAGCCGTGACGGACTCTAAGCCACCGAAAAAAAGAAGGAAATCAAAAAAAAAGAGTGTGCTGAAAAAACTGACTGGAAGCCACACAAACAGAGGGACAAAAGGCAATCAGACTTGCGGCCTACGAATGTGCCACGCTTTTCCTTTGCTTTCCGAGCATCCCACTCTCGTTTTTCCGCGCTTTTCCTCCTTTTTTATTGCAGGTTTTCCACGCTCCTGCAGCCGCAAAGTATGCTATGAATTTTATGTCGCATACAATATAGAGGGTAAATTAATTAGAGCTACGGTTTAACACACACGAAAAGGGGGATGTTAAAAGGTTTTAAAAGAAGACGTTGGTAAAAATGTGTTAAAGTCAAAATTTTCACAGATTGAAAAGTGCTGTAGAAATAGCAAATGACTAAAAATCATTAAAAAAAAGAGGTAATAAAATTTCTTTGAACGTTAATTTAATAATTTGTATAAAATTTATTAATTTATTACAATAATACAAAAACATTTTAAAATAGTATAATATATCTAAATACAACAAAAATATCAAAACAATCAACATAAATTCCCCAGCATCCTTATATAAGAGCGAATATCCTTTAGCGATATTTTACTGTAACTTTACTGCTTGTTTATTTGCCATAAAAAACCTTTCCTTTCCGCACATCGCTTCCAATTAATCCCGCTTTGATGATGTTTGATTTAGGTACATTGCCAGCATCTATGCAGAGCGTATAAGTGAAGTTCGTTTGGGTAAAAAAGGGGGGATTTTTTATGGGCTGCTAATTAAATGCATACAATTAGCTACACACGCTAATGATTCAATTATCTTTATTACTTCCCCGACATGCACTCTCTGCTGCAATCACACAAAGCTAAATATGTGGAGCAAGGGAGCTCTGCTTTTAATTAAAACCAATTCGAATCGATGGCCAGTCGAGGCACGTTTTAAATTTAACACTCGGGTCCTTGGAATTCTGAGCTCAAAGCTCAGTGCTCGGAGCACTTCATTAAAAAGTGTAAAGTTGGAAATTTATTTTGCATTTGGCGTGCATCGAACGTGTGAAGGCCAGATGCACTTAAAAAAGAGTGAGGCCTTTCTTAACATAAAAAAATGCCCCCTAAAATTAGTGTTCAACTTATCAACAAAGATAAGTATGAATTTTTTAAATTTACAAAATTCAAAATTGAAAATTATTAAATACTTGATTTTTAAAAAAAGGACTCATCTACATACAATTTTAATATATTGTTGGTTTTTTAAAAATTTGAAATCTTAAAAACTAAATTCTTAAAAACACAGAAAATAAAAAAAAAGAAATTAAAAAATTCTACTACAGAAAATTATAGAACTTCAAGCCACTTTTAATATTTACAAAGTTTGTTCAGTGTCCACAAATGGGTTTTGAAGGGCTGCCAAAGGCAGTTGATGAAATGGAAAAGGGGGTTTTCTGGGTGGATTTGTTTATGGCTGCAGCTGCGCCACTAAAATGGATTGAAGAGGCGCGCATCTTGTCCACAATCAAAAAAATGGGTCAATCAAGTTGGCGAAACTGTAAAGGGATCAATGGAATACGATCTATGGGAGTAAAGGCTCGAAGTGATAGGAGTTAAACGACTTTACTGGTTTACTTTTAAACATCCTTACATGAAAGTATACCATTTTACGACTGGAACTTTATCGTAAATGAAGAAAATGAGTCTATTATTAAGTTTTTATAAAACTATTGGTGATCTTAAGGTTCCAGGTACCTAATCGAAGCGATTATTAAATTGGATAAAACTAAACCATTTGTTTTAGAAAATTACCAATTTCAAAAGATTTTTTTGAATTTCCTGTATAAGTTGTTTTACGAAAATTGGCGTATGCCAGATATAATATATAGATATAATTTCAAAAGATTTTCATGACATTCTTATATTTTCATTTTAGATAAAATTGTTTAAGCCAGGTATATGGCAATTGAATCAACTAAAAAATAGATATTATTTAATCCCTTTTTAAAATTGTGTATGTAATTTATTAAGAATTTTTGAGTCAAGAAGCTGTAAAGAGAATCAAAAACTTCTAACAATAACAAAACCACAGATATCACAGAAAATAATCGAAAAATCATAATGGCAAACAACAATTGCAAACAAGCAAAACCAATAAGCTGTTTCTGTGTGTAATCCATCAATCAATTCGAAATGGAAGTGGAATTCCATTTCCCAACACAATAATGCCCTGCTTAAAGAAATTACTTTCACGCTTTTGCCTCAACTGACAATCAACATTTTCGAGTTCAATCAATGCATCCGCTTATTTAGCTGCCACTTCCAGGCCGGGCCACTTGCCACGCCCCCAATGGTCCGCAAAACGCCCCCCTTCGGGCTCACAGTTGGAATTTATTTCATTCCTATTTCATGCAATTTTTATGCATTTTTCTATTTATAAAATGGCTTGCAGCGAAGAGCCCGGAGAGCACACAAAATAATAAAAATGCCAAGCAAGACGTGCAAAAGAAAAGTAAGAGAAAATAAACGTAAAATGCAAGCGGCGTCATTTCGCAGTTCCTTGCGAGGCTCTCACTTGTATTTTTTTAATACCTCCCCCTTGCTTTTCCTTGTTTTCCCTGCACTTGGAAAATATAACACTGAATCGTAGAGTAGTAACTGAACTGAACAGGCCAAACAAGAGTAAAATATTCAAGTAAAATACTTAAACTTTTAATGTAATGTAATGTCAATCTAAATTTATTTCTTTTTTATTTCATTATTTTTTAACACTGTTGGAAATCTTAATAAAAAAATTTTTAATTAACATATTCACTTCATATATAAATATTTTTAAACATTTTTGTGTATATCATTTTTAAGACATTTTTGGTATTTATTTCATGAAATATTATTTTACAACACTATTGGAAATCTTATTAAAAATATTCAAAGTAAACATTTTTACTAAATATCCTTGTTTACATTTTTAAATGATTTAAGTTCAGTGCATTTTTCTTTCTATACTATAAATAAAAAGGTAAATCAGAAAATTTTTTGAAAATCAGAAAAAAACCACTGATATTGGTAGAAAAAAGACCATTTGTTCACCGTGTGGTTTTCCCTAAATTTTCCCTAGATTTTCCCTAGTTTTTCACTAGATTTCCCCCTGTAGTGTGAAAATGCAGCGTGAGAAACCGAACCGAAACGGAGCTGGAAAAATGGTTGGGCGGTGGGGCGTGTAAGTGTTGGTAAACGTGGTGCAAAATGCCGTTACTGCCATCCTGCATTTTCCATTTTCTTTCCCCGAAGCTGTTGTTGCTGTTGTTTAGGTTGTTGTGGATGTTGTTGTTACTGTTGTTACTGTAGTGGTGTTGTTGTATTTGGGTCACCAATGCAGTTGTAGCTTTTCCCCCGCAGTTTCCCACGTGTTTTCTTTGCTGTTGTTGCTTGTTTAACAAGTTCGAGTGCATCGCATTTGTGAAAAATTTAAAAAGGCATCTAAAAGTTCCCCCTGAATGTGTTTTGTGTATATGTGCCACAAAAAAAAAAAAAAAAAGCAAAACAGGAGCAAACTTTTTGAGGCTCTGCAGCTGACACCAAAGTGCACAAAAGCAACAGTGAAACAAACAAAGAAGGCTGTCTTTATAGGGTTAAGGGTATCGTTATGCATGTATTACTATGTATTAAGAAAAAATTAAAGATTTTTAAGAAATTCGAATTTATCAAAATCTAATTTATAGCGATATACATTTAAAATATGAAACTGAAGATATATAGTTTTAATTCTGGATAGATATAAATAATTATATTTTCTATATAAAAATTTTCTATAAATCTCATATTTAAAACATTTATTAAGTAGAGCCTCCAAATCGTAGATATGCCCCTCGAAAAAGTTTGCTTAACAATGTGTAAAAGGGTTTTTGGGGCAAAGATTCGGGAAGTGAATTTTTCCAGCGGCAGGAGTCGAGTGAAACAAAAACGAACAGCAAACATATTTGACATTTGCATACGAAGAGTGTCAAAAGAAGCAAGAAGCTACACATACAAACTAACCCAAGCAAACACACTTGCAACCAACCGCATAAAAAAGAAACACACTGGGAAAAATTTACTATAACTAAAAAAATTTAAAATGGTTAAGCAATTTATTTATTTCAACAGGGAAATGGCCTGGAAAGAGCATTTCCCGGTCAGAAATACTCTTATCAGGATAACTAAATATTAATCCCTATTTTAAATAACTAAATGCCCGTGATATTTTAGTTGGGTTCTTGAAATTATAACTAAAATGGGAATTTTAAGAACCAAAGCATTTATTTAAAATTAAAAGATGTGGTCAAGGATACACAGAAAAGTTTATATCTTATTATTAAACAATTTTTCTTAGTTTTTTCTGTTTACGCGAAGAAAAAAACAAATGAATATTAAAAAGTCAAATATAAATACAAATAAAAAAAATGCTGGGAATTTCTTAAGCAAATGATTTTTAAAAACCTTAGTGAATATATTTGAACACAATTTTAAGACGAGGTCTAATTGGGGCGTGGTATTGGTTTTTATTACAATTAAATTATGTATTTTTACTATTGAATAATTTTTTTCAGTGTAAGCCTGCTCGTTTACGCCACTTCCGAGTCGCTTTCTTATCTGTGTCCTTTCTCTGCTTCTTTTCTTCCTGCACAGGAACGCTACAAGGCCGACATTAGCCTGGCCATCCAATTGCTGCAGTGCAAGCCGGATAGTTTTGTGTCCCAGAAAGTGTCATCGGTGGGTAGCCCAAAATATATATATTATATACCCTACCATTGGGAAAACCCCACTAAATGAGATTTTTCCATGCAGCTGCCCATTGATATTCAATCGAAGGTGTCGGCTTATATGAGATTGGAGACGAACTCCCACTCCGATTCCGAGTGCAGCACCAGCGGAGTGGGCGTGGCCACCACAGCTTCCTACAAAGTGCTTCCGGCCTCCGACTCGCCGCCGCCCTCCGCCTGCCCCTTCCCGCCCACCGCGATGGTCTATTCGATGCGGGGAATTGGTAGGTGTTAGTAGACCATGCTGAGCCCCTTCCCTTATGATTTTTCCCCTTTTTCTCCTATTTTATTTATTGATTTACGTTTTTCAGCCACCGGATTGAATCACGAAGACTGCGTTAAGTTCACAATTTGATTTCCTTTCTTTGATTTCATTTAAAAATAATAACCATAGAAGAGATGTTTTATTTATCGGAAATATTAAAAACTTTTTTTTAAGAAACAAAAGAATATTTTTCAACCAAGCAAGTTCAAAATTGTTTATTTTAATTTTCATTTTATTGAAGATTATTTTTATTTTTTTAAGAAAAAAAAGTTTTAAATAGGAGTTATAATGAATATTCAAATCTAAATTATATTTATGAAAACAAATATAGTTATACAAAATTAGTTTAAGGTTTTTTATTTTAAATATAATAATGTTTGATTAAAATCATTAGCAAAGTGACTAATTTTGAAAAGTACTTCTGTTTGATATCCTTTTTTATTTATTGATTGGCATTTTTTTCTGGAGACTGGACAAAGTTCACAATTTGATTTTTGCCTCATAATTGCATATATTCCACATCATTGTGCTCTGTATTGGCAATTCATTCCTCTTCGTTTATTGTTCATTTGCATTAATTGCCTGCGTTTCAATTTAATTTGTATATATTATTTCAATTTTTTCGCTTTATTGTTTGCCGTTATTGTTGGCATAATTGCAATTTGAAACTACTGCACAAAATAACTCTCTGTCGAATTTTTTTGTTTTCGTTTCGTTCTCGGAAATATTTACATGTTTGTGTGTTGTAAACATATTGTTGGCCAGAATGTTGCAGAGGCATGGTTGTGGCCAAAAACTTTTTGTTTATCAATTTCGGATATTTTTGTTAGTTTTAATACATGCATATTTGATGAGGCAAAATTTTGTTGTCCAAAATGCTGTTGTTGCCGAAATGTTGGGCATTGTTAAATGGAAGTTAACTGGTTTTTATAAGGCCTAAAATGTTACTTTTTTAGGAGAAAATGTTTTGACTTTGTTTTTTGTGCCAAATTGGTTGAATTTCATGCAATCCATATATGTATACCAACATAGTCAGGCTTATGTTTTCTGTTTCAAATATTTAATCAAACCAAATATATTATATTTATTTCACAAATGATTAATTTTGTTATAAGCCTAAGTTAATTTTTATATTTAAAATCTTGATTTATACCAAATAACTTGGGTTCAAATGGCTCTAAAAAATAACGTAAAAGACCTTTAAGACCCTTTACTAATTTTAAAATATTTTTCCAATCAAATTTAGACGCCGAAAATGGAAATACGGCTACAAATCCTAAACAGCAGTCGAATCAGCCCAATAACAATACAAAGGACGCTCTGATCAACAACAATATTAACAACAATAACAACAACACCAGCATCAATAACAAATGCAACAATCAAACTAATACCAATATTAGCAATAATAATAATGGAAATCAAGTAACCAATTCCGATATGATATCACCCACAATAATGGCAAAATTTCTGGAGGACGAATTAAAGGCGAATGAGGTGAAGCATTGCGATACATGTCAGTGTAGCAAACAGGATCTTCAGGTCCTCGCAGATGTATCTCGTTCCTATTCGGTGGCCACCCAAACGCCCCATCAACTGCAACTCCAGGGATCAGGCCTAAATGAGCCATTGACCCAACTTTGTCTAAGATGCCATAGTAATCTGAATTCGCCATCGCGAACTAATAGTCCATATCTGATGAAGATGGTGAAGTCCAGTGATTCTGTTATATCTGAGACCAAGAGTTCCGTTTCGGATCTGAACGATATGGATAAATTGTTCACGCCAGCCAAAAAAGATGATTTGATGGTTAATCCCATATTGGGACATCATCGTCTCTGCGAAAGAACTTCGATTTCGGCCCAGAATGCAGACTATGTGAATGGAAAACTCACGACCTCCACAATGATGTATCCAACCACACATTTGGGTGCCTATGCGGCCGAGAAATATCTCCTGGAGACCAGTAATCTTGGCCAGCTGAGAAATGGCTATCAGAGGAGGTTTCTGGATGGCGGAGGAACAGCTCTGCAGCTCTTAAACAAATGCGAAGCAAATGCCGTGGGAGTTACTACACTGGTAAAAAAAAATAATGCAGTTAATCCCACTATTTCATCCATAATTTAAAGTTATTTTAAAAATTAAAATAGCTACTTTTTTTTAATAATTCTTTTGATTATTTTCGGATTACATTTAATTATCTATCATTTAAATGATATTTAATTTTTAATTAATTTAAATATTTATCGTTTTAATTTTCATCCTTTGAGGTTTTTAGTTTTTTTAAAATTTTGTTTTTGGCTACTTTTGAAATGGATTTAAAAATCAGAAAATTTAATTTAATTAGCATTAAATTTTTTATAATAATAATAAATGCATATATCTTAATTTAAATATGGAACACAATTTATTTAATATCCACATATACTTTATACTATTTTTTTATCAGTGTACCCAAGATGAGCTTCTAGAGGATGAGTCGAGTAAACCTCTTTTGGCTGGCGTTTCGCAACCCAGTCTTTTGGAAGCGGATCAGACGGATCTTGTCCAGCAAACAGTGCTTCCTTCGAAAGTGGAGGATATTTGCGAGCCACCGCCCACTAAAATAGTGGCTCCTGTGGCTCCTCCTGGAAATAACACTGCTGCTGCTCCATCGGGAACCCAGCAACAACTCAAGTCCACGAATTCCGGAAGTGTTCAGAGTTTGTGGAGCAACAAAACCAGCAGCTGCGAGGGGGCCAAAATGTTCGAGACCTTCAACAGGAACCTCATCAAAACAATTAAGGTGGGCAGGGGGTTCTTTACACTATACAAAATTTACCGAAATTTTTCATAAAAACTATGGGAGCTTAACATATACATATATGTTATATTGTTCTTACAACCCATTACAAAGAAGTACTAATTTAATATTATTATTTGCAGGCGGAGAATCCAAAGTACCGAGGTCCCCGTCTTTGTGCCATGAGAATCCAGCAAAATGGCCAGAGCAACATCCTGCTGGACAACTTGGAGTCCATCGAAACCTACACGCCGGTCATCTACAAGAGAAGGGAAAAGCTGCTGGATGAGGAACTCAACGATGGCAAGGACATCATCACCAGCAAGGAGAGCAATGCCCAGTCGGTGGTGGAGGCGTGGCAAGGACCTGCCAATCCCCACGACAGTGTGGCACTGCAACCCGTGTTGGAACCCCAAGTGGAAGCCCCAGAAGTGGAACAAGTGCACTGGTAAAAAAAACGTTGCACCTCCCAGTTTATTTATTGCATTTATTTTCAATATGGAAATATAAAATGTTTTTTTGAACTTTTCGTTTGACTATTTTGGGTATTTTTTGGCAATTTCGATGTTGATTTGAAATCTTAGTTGAATTTTTAATTTAAGCAGTTTTTGATTTAAAATTGAATATTTTTCACATTAATTTAATAACTGTTATATTAAATCTTTCAATTTATCAAGCGATGTGTTGATATACTTTTTATATATAATTTAAATAGGATATATAACATTTTAAACGCAATTAACCAGTTATTAATTAGTACTACTCCATGTTTTGTCAGTGTGGATATAAAACCCGGTGAAACGCCCACAAATCCCGGAGTAAATTCGCCCAAGCATTCGGCCAACTCCAGTTCGATGAGTGATGCCATTGACTACCAGGAAAGTGTCCTTTTGAGGCGGCAGCAACTCAGTAGAGTGGCCGAATGGGTGCAGCACAATACCCAGCAATTGGAGCAGAGAAACCTGCAACAGGCTCCGCAAGCCAGTGACTCGAACTCGGGAACCGAAAGACAGTCCTCGTACTCCACACTCGATCGCATGGACTCCATATCGATAGAGAAACTCTCCATGGATTCGGGCTATAAAACTACCCCGCAACAACTAACCAATGGCTATCCGGAAAAGTCTACCGAGGATTCTTTGTCACCCAAGACGGATATTACTAGCAATTCTTTGCCGGAAAATCCAGTAAGTAGAAATAACATGGGTTTCACACGAAATTACAATTGTTTTTGCTTTGATTTTGTGGTTTTTTATTATGGCAAAATTATATTTTTTCAATAGTTTTTTTGATGTTTTCGGAATAGTATTAAATTTCTGATAAATTTAAACCATATTGAACTCAAGTAGTAAACCCAAATATTTTGTATCAATGATCAATGCGGAAAATTTAATTTAAATTTGCATTTCGATCTGCATTGTATTTAAAATATAATTTAATTTTTAATTTTAAGATGTAATATGAAATTTGGAGTTTAATAGCCAGATGTTTAATTGAACTATTCTATTCGTGTATCAGTGTAATAGTGCTCCGCCCAAGAAGACGGAAATGTGCACAACATACTATAGGAGAACCACGCGATCGGGACTGCCAGTGGCATATACCACCGTTTCTGGGGCTCCCAATCCGGATCCGGAATCCATTTCGTCTGGTTCCGAGGCACTCATCTGCCCCGAACAGCCCACGTGTGATATACTGAACTACAAATACTATCCCAATGATACGGACAAGACGCGATCCGTTCAGGCGGAGCTGCATACCACAACCCAGAATGTGGACATTGCTCAGATGGAGTACAATGTCAAGCAGTTTTTGCTTAAGCAAAATGAATGGTCCATGAATGGAGGAGGGAACCCGGGAGCAAATCCAACCAGATTGCTGCAGCGCAGGATTTTGGGACCCGGCGTGGGTGAACGGGTGCGAATGGCCACTCCCGGTGGAGCTGTGGCAACCAAAACCACCAGCACCACCACCAGCACTAGCACCACCACCAGCACCACCACCCAGTCATCATCTGGAATCCACCTGCCACCCCACAGAACTGAAACGAATTTATAAGCAAACGGGGTCACCACACAACACAAATTCGCCACAACACATCCAAATCCGATGAGGAAACCAAACTGTATTCTAGTCTAGTTTTGCTACTTTCAATTTCGTCTATATAAATACGATACATAGCAATGCTTAAGTTGGGTGAGGGGTTCTCCAAAAAAACAAAAACAAAATGAATACAAATACAATGCTAATAGCAATGATAACTATACATATGTACGATAAATGTAATACTTACACCACAATCTACAATCTAAGCTGGCTTGAGTTGCTTTAAACTAAGCTGATAATCTGGCTTCTCTGGATTTGCAAAATATTTAAGGCGTTGGTTACAAATTAATTAACAATTTAAGCTCCTCATTTGACTTTATATTGCAACATTTAACTAGAGAAAATTTGTTACACAGTTCGTTATAAAATTAAATTAAAAATGTTAGAGCTTTTCTTAAACCCTTGTTTATCACTAAAATAAAATTTTAAATACTCCGATCAATCAATCAAAAACTATATTTTTGAATAGGATTGTTTGTGCATAATTTTTACAAAATAAAATTAACACTAATTAATCTTTTTCTAATCAATTATAATAGACATTTAAGGAATTTTGATTCTCATTCTGTTATAAAGTTGTTTATAACTATAAATTGTTTTGAAAATCTAAAATCAATCTTTTATGGGACTGTTTGTGCATAATTTTTACAAAATATTATCGAGTTTTCTAAAATCATTTGAAATACTGATACTAAAAAATACATTTATTATTAAATGTTTAAATTGCTCATATGCTTTAAATCGTAGTTACTATATATTTGTTTAAGTGTTTTATTTATCTCACATTTTTGTTTGTCAAAGTGTCTTCCCATAAATCGCATGTTTTTTAATTTCTACTTAACCAACGCCACAAATCTCAAGCCCTCGAGAAATTGCAGCTACAAGCAAAAGCAAATCTAAGACATATGATATGGTTACTCCTTACTATATAACAGAACATTATATACAAAAACTAAAATCGCGTAACTTTTTGATGTCTGCATGTTAATATAACCCACGAAAATCTTTACCCAAAAACAAGCCTAGGTTACACTGGAAATATATAAATTATATTTATAGGGATATACAGATAAATATGCTATATACGATTGATATTTGATAAGCGCGTTATATTTTCTAGATTCCGATTGTGCAATATTTTTTGGTAGTGTGTGTGTGCGTGAGAAGCGAAAACGAATTTTTATTTTTATAAAATGCGACCAAAAACAAGGGGATAACTTTTCAGACCATTGATTTCTATTTTGTATTTATATTTTCTATTTGAGCATTTTGTCCAGCCGCAAAAGCTTGCGCTTTATACCAAAAACCCGATCAGTCTATCGAAGATATATATACAAGTATTGTACCTTTTTGCCGGAAAAAAAACTGTACTCATTCCTGCCCATTAGATGACCTTCATATAGAGAACTGTAATCCTCTGCTAACTGCTAAATCAAAGATATATTAGCCACGCTATATACAAAAATCAGTATCGCGAACAGAAACACTTGCATTATAGACGTATCTGAACAGACATATGATTGTAATACCCACATATATTTACATCTATAGCATAGCATATATATATTCACCTTTATATGTGTATACCCGACCCACAAAAACACAAAACACAACATTCAACGGCTTCAAAAGAACCACAAACCAAACGAAAACTACTTTTCTATGTAATCCCAAACCATCAATCAAAATTATATTGAATGCCGCGATATTTACTCGATATTTACACGCATGTATGGCTGCTATATCTATATCTCTATATATCTCGATTACTTTACCATGTATACACTGAGCGAAATGCTAAAATGGAAATGCTTTAAGACACTGTTATGTTTGGCCTACTTGTATGAACGTTTAATTAGCATAAATTCAACTTCAAATAGAGCAAGAGTAAAGCCCCAAACTATAATTGCTTACTATAAATCTAGGGATCCTCTGCCTGTTATGCACTTTAATCCTACGATACTCGAATCGAAAAGAAATCAAAACTCTTATTAAGTTCATGTGTACCAATCTCGAAAAAGACTTAACTTGGATAAGTAACTAAATCATTTCCGGTAATCACTGCTCCCTCACCTGTAATTCACTGCTCAACGATCCAGTTTTCCAGAATAACTCATAAATATATCAACAAATCTCGCAAAAACAATAGAACACTGCCCCAAAAATCCCAATCACTGCCCCAAAATCCCCTTCTTCCTTCTAAAAATAAAAACCCCAAAAACTAACTTTAAGTAGAACCATTCTTCAGCTCAACAAATCACCAAAAACTTAATTATAAAATCAAGAATCCCCAACAAACCGTAGCTAAAAAATAACTGAAAAAAAAACTAAAAATTTGAAATGGAATTTCAGCAAAAAAATGGTAATATATGAAAAACTAGCTTAAATATTTGGGCATAAGTTAAACTCCAGCTGCGACATCTAGTTTAAATTGGAAGCCTTTGTTCTCTTCGCCTGATTTTGAAACATTTTCAGATACTTAGCCTTATATGAATGTGTACATTTACTGCGCGTTTTGGTTAATGTAACCATTTTTGAGCTATTGAACCACCTTAATGTAAAACTAAAAACAAAAGAAACTCAACAAAAACAAAAAAAAACAACAACATCAAAAATAATAAATCATGAAAACAAATGGAAATAATTCAAATAAATATGAGATAATTTTTGAATAAATTTGACGCTGTTTTAATTTTTTGAGGAATTTTCTTGTTTTGATTGTCTTATAGTTATGTATGACTTTATTAAAAAAAAGTCTTAAAAAAGTCTAATGTTTTACTAAAAACAATTTTGTAATACTCCAAATAAATTGTTTCTTCCTCAACTAAAACGCTTCTGATTTTGATATTTATTTGTTTTATTTAATTATTATATATTTCCAATTTTTCCCCAAAACGGATTTTTTCCCCAAAGTTAAAACGCTTGTGATTTTATTATTTTTTCTTTTATTCAATGATTTGCATTCTCTCATTGTTTTTATAGATAAATTCCTGGGCTGAGTATGAAATAAATAATTTGTTGCGGTGCATGCACTTAGAAAACTAAAGAGGCATTTTCCCGAGTCATTCTCAATTGAAGTCGAAAAATATGGACGAAAATGCGTCAGTCGGTTTGTGTGAATGAATCTAAAGCGATTCTAGAGAGCCACTGCATCGTTGGTTAGTGGCTGATTCTGGACAGGATCGACGACATCGCCGGCATCATCGTTGACCACAATGACCTCATTGGATGGAACTCCGGCCTCCTCGAAGGAATCATCGATGGCTTCGCCACTCGAACGTATTTCATTGTCGGTTTCGGGGACAAACTCCTGCACCTCATCCTTGGCAGGATCGATTTTGTCATCGACAGCGGGTTTTTCCGGGGCCTGAGTTGCTGGCGAGGCTGGTGGTGCATTCTGTGGGCGATTGCCACCCAGGAAGTTGATGATTCCCTGGAGGGGATTGCCACTTTGCTGGGCAGCCGGAGCAGCGGCAGCCGTGGCATTGCTATTTCCCCCGAAAACATTGTTCACAAACTGCTGAATGGGACCCGGTGGACGTGGCGTGGTGGCCACAGCCGCCTGCTGTTGACCCGTCAGGCTGGACAAAGTGTTCTGGAACTGATTGCCCAGATTGCTGGCGAACTGCTGGATGCCCTGGAAGGCCTGCGTGGTGGCATTCACGGCACTCTGGGCTGCATTTTGCACAGCCTGTTGGGCGGATGTGATGGCAGCCTGGGGATTGAGGAAACCGGGAACCGTGGGAGCTGGAGTTGCTACATCATCGGCTTGGGTTTGCAGTGGCACAACAGCAGCAGCCGGAGGAGCAGGATTGTTGGCTGGCTGAGGCTGGAACTGATTCAGGAACTGACCGATGGGGGAATTCTGGATCAATTGCTGCACAAAGTTGCCCTGCGTGGTGCTCTGCTGGGTGGGCGTGGCCTGGGTGGCCTGGCGAACTTGAGGCTGGGCTGCATCCTGGATCTCCTCCTGCTCCGGAATTGCCTCCTTTAAAATAGTTGGAGCAGCTTGCTCTTTGACCTCCAAAGTCTCTTGTTTAATCTCCTCGGGTTGCTCCTTAACTATTTCCAGGGATTTTTCTTTCAGCTCCAAGGGTTTTTCCTTAATCTGCTGCTTAATTTGTTCTTCAATCTGCTCTTTAAGCTCCTCTTTAAAGATTGGCTTAACAGCATCCTTAATTTCGGGTTTAATCTGCGCATTAGCCTCGGGTTTAAGCTCCTCTTTAATTTCAGACTTAATCTCTTCTTTAATTTCAGGCTTAATCTGCTCTTTAATTTCGGTCTCAACTTCTGTTTTAATTTCTTCTTTAATTTCGGGCTTAATCTCCTCTTTAATTTCCGGCTTAACTTCCGGCTTAATTTCCTCCTTCAGATCCTTGGCCTTTTCTTCCTGAACCACAACTTTAATTTCCTCTGGCTTGATGTCCTCCTTAACCAAAGGTAAAGCCACTGGTTGGGCCTGATCCTCGACAATGGCCACAGGGATATTCAGCACTCTGCCTTGGCTTACAGCCAGAAATGCCAGGATCAAGTAAACAGACTTCATTTTCGCGTAATGATTTTCTCTACTATACTTTTGTTCGATTTCAAGATGCGTTCACTAGCGCCTCACGGCCGCAACTGTTTGAAATTTCTTTAGGCCCAACGCATTTTATACAAACCGCCGGCTGCGCAGTCGCAGTCGACTTTGTTGGCAGGCAAACAACAAGCCAACAAGCTAACAGGGCTAAGAAAAAATAAAACAAGAGTTGGGGCGCAAAAGTGGTAGTATCATCGTCTTGGCCAATTCTTGAACTAAATGTCATTGAACTGGTCCAACTTGGACTCGAGTTGGGCATCAGGAATCAGGAATCAAAAGGGTTTTGCCCAAGAAGATGCCCTCGTAATTGGCCAAGAGGATGGGCCAAGAAAAAAGGGCCCAAGCCCGGCGACCATCATCAATCATGTTTGCTTTATCGAGTGTACACGCTATCAGAATTTGGTTTACTTAGCGAAGATCGCAGAATTGTTAGGGCAATTGCTTGAGTTCTTAAGTGGATTATGCTATTTTATAAATAAAAACCATTGAGTGTTTGAAATTACGACACTTTTCTTTTAAGGTTTTGATAAAGATTTTCTGTAGGTTTTTATTGTGAACATCTTCATTGCTTTCAAATACCATTAAAAAAGAGCAAATATTTTATTTCAAAATTGAATGATTTCTACAAATAATACTTGTATATTTGTCCTAGATTTTTAAGTGAAATCAATTTATCTACATCGAAAAGGGCGGAATTTAGGTATCACTTCAATATATTCTAAAATCTCATGAAGACATTAATTGAGAACAAAATATACATTTACTTTAAGATGTTTCTCTTTAACAAAATAAATGATTATTTGAAAATTAGTAACCTACGACTCTCGAATCTTGATTTTAATAGTATTAATTGGTTTACATATTTAAACATACCTTAACGACTGATTATTTAAGCCAGTTCATCATAAAGTAAACTAACTAGTTAAGCATATGTTTAATGTTAAAAGAAAATATGTAGAGACATTTTTTAACACGTCCGACTTGTGAAAAATTTTTAAAATTTAGCTTTAAATACCCATTTATGAAATTAATAAAAAAAACAGTCTGTACTTATTTTGAGAAATATATCCATAACATTGTTTGAAAACTATAAAATGAATGAAAAATAAAAACAGTATTGCTTAGACAACTTCCAAATTTTATAAAAATAAATATCATGGTCCAACTGTGCAGCGACTGTCGATTAGTCTTTATTTCAGTCTGTTCCTGATCATCGACTTGTAAAACTCCCCCTTTTCTGCTACTTTTCCACCTTTTTTCACTCTCATTCCCTTTTTTTTGTTGACTCGATTGCATTTGATCGGCAGATTTTTCTCGTTTTCTTGTTTGGCTAAACGATCCTACAAGAAACCAAGAAATCTTAAAGTCTTTGGCTCTTTGGCTCTTTAACTTTGGAAACCCGTTCCCCAGACTCTGTCTCAGACTTGAGATTCAGACAGAGAAAAAGAAACCTGCTTCGGCTATTTTTAGAGTCAATTAGCTTTGGACCGACTGAAGATGCATCTCTGCGATGCGTTTTCCCCTTGGTTCTGGGTTAATAATTCATTAGAAATGCACAATGCACCGAACGAAACCAAACAAAAAAAAAAAACGCCCACTCTCCAAATGTGTTCTATGCAAATCAGTCCATTTAAATGTAGTTAAATGGGTCAAACGATTTGGTGGAGAAAACGACGCCGCTCTGAATAGAAGGAAAATTTATCTCCTGTTCATATGAGACTTTCATGTGGTCATCGATCGATCCATTTGCGGCTCGATCGGCAAGAAGAACTCGTTCTTGGACCCTTTTGGCCAACAAGAGCTCTGCAAACAAGACAAACCTGGAAAAGGGCTAAACCATATGCAACCAGAGTTAATAAAAAAAATACAAGTGAAATGATTTAAGAGCATGGCTTAAATACCCTTAAAAATGTATTTGAAAGTATTATAACAAATTTAACAAATCTAGAAAGTTAAGATTTTTGAGCCCAAAGCTTTGATCTCTACACGTTGTTAAGGGACGTGATTTTAAGAGACAAGTTTGTTTGTAACTCAGCCTAACATCTACTTTTCACTCTAAATTTATATTTATTTTTATTAACACATTATTCTTGATTAAAACAAACATTTTATTTTGTAAGAATACATCTTAAATCTTAAATATACATTTTAAAGCTATTAAAATAAATCTTATTGTATTCTGTCTAGAAATACACTAAAAGTTTTTAAAGTGAATCTCCGGTTGATCTCAGAACTTTTCTCTTTAAAAAAAATGTAAATTAATTTAAAATTTGCAGCTCATACTTCTATAATAATTAAATAAACAAATGTTATCAGTACTAGCAAGTAAAAAACACTTTTCTAGCTTAATGGTTTTATTTTAGCTTAAAACGAGTGGCTAAATTGATTATGCTCTTTTTAAGGGAATCAAAAGAAATCAAAGATCGAAGTGGATGGCTAAGGACATTGACTTGGTTCTGGGATCTTCGAAGCGATCTTTTTATGTGTTTTTATGACCCCCAGCTTGGGGCTTTTAATTCTGCAGCTCGAAATTGATTTCGGCACGGGGAGAACACGTTTATTCCCAAACTCATTTCGGTTCTGCCGATTTTAATGGTTTTTCTTGGAGTTGGTTAATTGTTAAGCGCTTTTTTTTGTGCGCTGTCTTGGCCCAAAAAAAAAAACATTTTGCTCGAGTTTCGGTTTCAGCTTTGGCATATTATGCAATTGTTAGCAGCACTTTTTTTTTACACAATTGACTGTCGAATTAACACCTCACTCACATCCATCGACAGGTGACGATAAGGCGGTCGGGGCGTGGCATTAACAATAGCAACAACAAAAACATTACTCTAAACGGTGGCAACTTTCACTCAACAATCGTGCGGAATACTAAAAAAATAAAAAAAATAAATACCCATGCAAAGTGGGTGACAAAAAGAGTTAAATAAAAGTACAAAAAAACTGGGAGTGAGTGGGAGAAGTCAGGCGATCTTCGTCATCCGAAATTACCTCACTTATCAAACTAAGCCGCTTGTTGTTGCCGTTTCTTATTGTCGTAA